TCTGTATGTAAAAATTATATCAATGCTAAACAATCTGGTAAATATTTTGTAAATAGTGAAGCTTTTGTATGTAAAACTGATATTAGTACTAAAAATTCCAGTAATTATTTTTAAACTAGTGAAAATTCTGATAGTAAGTTACAAAAATTGTTGAATAGTTATAATCGTCAAAGAACTGCAAAGATTTTTAGGAAGTATTAATGTATATCATAAATTTATTCAAAATTATGCTAAAATTAGAGCTCCTTTAACTAATTTGATTAAGAAAGATACCCTCTATAAATGGACTAATGAATGTGAAATAGCTTTTCAAAAATTAAAAGATGCATTAATTTCTAGGCCTGTTTTAACTATAAACAAGTTTAATCCTAATTATCCTTGTCATGTATTTGTTGATGTCTCTAAAGAAGCTGTTCTAAAACAAGAATATCCTGATGGTAGTTTACATCCGATTGCTTTTCATTCTAGAAAATCAAGACCTTATAAAATTCTAAAACAATATTCCGAAGTTACTTATGAAATTGATAAAGCTAAGACTCTAACTAAAATGAAATCAGAAATTTTTCATTCAACTATACTAAGACCCTTTAATCCAGCAAGAGAATTTAAATTAACTGTTAGAAATAGTAGAATTCCGATCTCTATTCAAAATTAATTTAATTCTAATTTTTCAAATTTCTGTCCTGATTTTGACTTTTAATACCTGATCTAGACTTAAAAAACCCTAACTATGACAAATTATATTCTCGACTATGACAATTATTTTCTCGATTTTGACCTTTTATATTCTTCACATAATTTTGAGTCAGCTATGGTCATGAAAGTGGCTTGTCTTATTGTATACTTTTTCATACCAGCCCCGATCCTCTGACCATAGTTTAGCAGAGAGGTGCTACCGCACACAACGCACTAAGACATATTTTTCACATAATTTTAGATTATTTTGTAACAGATTTTTTTTCTTCTTGTTGTAGAGTAATATTCATTTCTAGTTTCTAAACAAGACTTTAACTTGATCATACAAGTTAGTTGTCTTAAATTTTTAATTTTGTAGAATTTTGTATTTTTATAAAAACACTTTGATACAATGTACAATGCCAAAAATCAGTTACCTTTTATTCGGCAACGGAGGTTTTCTGATATTTTGTACCTAGCATCCCCCAACCATCAGCAAGCTAGTCACGCTGATCTGTTGGCGAGGACATACCAAAACTTTTGATTCAAAGTGTTAATGTCTTATTGTCTTATATCATTATTTATATTGAATTGTATCGTAATGTTTTGTATTGAATTTTTAAACTATTTTCAAATATGTCAATGTATTGGTAATTACCTACGATGAGAAGAATGAATACACATAACACATTATTCGTAAATGGTATAAATTGTATATATTCTAAGTTTTATATGAAAAGAAAATTTTAAACATTTTCTATTCAAACATTATTATGCACCAAAAGTATATAAATATATGTATGTATGTGTATATATATATCAGTTTTTTTACTCTTATATGTTTGTAAATTGTTCCTTTTTTGCTTTAAAAATGATTGAATTATATTGTTCTTATCTTCTGGTTAAGGTTTTTATGCCTACAATATTTATAGAGTTATCAGCGATTTAAAAGTTGTTTAAGTGCAGCTAAGCCTAATTATTTTTGCGATGGCGGACATGTTTATTTACATTTGAAACTTGGCAGAATAGCGGATTTGTTGCCAATCTAGAGAAACTATGCTTCGCAACAACAAAGATAACGCCTTCTTTTATATTATTACGTATTAAATCATGCTTAATCCATTCTGAATTTTATTCGTGGAAATAAGTGTTTAAGATTTACTTCGTAATTTTTAATATAGATATTTTAAGTTTTCATGTATTTTTGCCTTGCCAGGAAGTGAGAACTGAATTAATTGAATGAGAAATACTGAATCGTCTGTAAAAAACTGTTCCCTTTTTGTTGTTGTTGTTTGTTTAATTTCCTTTATACATTGTTTTATATTTATTATAGTATTTGAATAGGACATGTGGCAACGATTAGATAATTCTTCAAATGATATAAATTTTGTGCATTCTTAGTTAAAATATTAATCTCATGCAACTTTTTTTTAAACCAAGCATATGTTACGAGTACAAATTTTAACATACTGAAAAAAAACTCTTTGAAGTTGATGGCAGAAAATAAGATACTAAATAGATAAATATATAGTTACAATATGAACGAAATGTAACGCTGTTAAGTGAACCTAATGCCAGAGTGTCACTATGGTAAACAAATATAGTGAATTTTAAAGAGTGTATTTGTTCTATTGTTGTTTATGCGCTATCAACGAAACAGATTTAATTCAATTTAATAAGGTTAAGTGAAATGCAAGAAAAAATGTGTATAATTTAATATTCCGCGCAAGGAAGTCATAAGGTGTACACATAAAATTTTTGTTATTCAAGGTCAGCCAAAAAATACAGGTTTCGCATATTTTTTTTAAAAGTATCAAGTGAGCAGTTATACCAATCTGAAACACTATCTTATCTTAATTGATTAATGTTTTATAGGTAAACTATAGTTCTACGACAAGCCTTACAGAAATATTAAGTTGTGAAGTTGTTTGAATGTTTTACTAAATGTCATAGGAGGAAAGAAAATTAAATTTCAATACATTAATATTTTTTTCCTAAAAGTACGGATTACGGGTATGCAATGCAATAAACAAAACAGAAAATTTTGAAACTCTTATAAAATCTCATATATTTTTATCATTCAGTCAACAATTCCTCATCTAGAGCTTAAGAGAGGGAAATGATTTGAGACAATATTATGAGAGAATTACTTATATGTTGCTTTAAAATGCAGATGTTAATCATGATTTAAAATTTGGAATTACTGTAATTCGCAATAACCGTTTATGTTAAGAAGTTCGAAACCGTTCTAGAACATAAAACTATTCATTCTTCGGTAAGAAATAATTCATCATGCTACAGATTTTCTTCTTTAATTCTTTAAATTTTAATAATGCATATAAGTTGTTTGAGGTCTTACACAAGAATTTGGGGATGCGTGAGGACACTTTTGTGTATAATGTTCGCTTCTGAAAATACAGGATAATGAGCATCCTAGAGCTATTGACTATCCAAAGTAGTCTTTCGATCCCAATGCTATCGAGCGTGCTTGGAACATTCTTTTTAAATGTACTGCAGGGCGAAGTCTCCTTCCAGGTTCTTTTCTAAAGCAACATACAACATACAGCAAATTCTGCTCTTCGCAAACAGGTCGATAATCTCATAAGTATGCTACATTGTTATACATCTTGAATTTCTATCGTAAACCTTATTATATTTTTCGTACAAAGATTATAAGCGTAACCATGAATTTCTAATTTCTAAATTAGCTTTTTCCCATTTTAATGGTTTAATTTGAGCGACGATTGTTGATGTCTTATCTTTTCTTTTCATGTTGAGTTGTATCTTCATGTATATATATATATCATTTTGGTTCATATTAAACAGCTGTAAAATGTGACTTGCAAAAGCTTTTAATTTACGGATATGAATGTACTTCAATCAATTTTGATAATAGGCTGCACCTATTAACTGATCTTAAAAATGTTGCTTAAAATGCAAATTCATTTTATGATATGCTCTGGTGATTTTATTAACTTGTAATTTTAAAACAAAATTGTATTTAAAATACTAATATTTTATTATTCTCCTGACCTTTATTAGGCCCACCAGCGGCCGAGCGGTAAAGTCGCTGAATACTGGTAGTTCGGTCCGAGGTTCGAATCCCGCGAACGGGCTGGCTGCATGGGCGTTTTCGTGATTTTCCCCATGTGTAACGTGTATACGAGCCAGTTTCCCTTAGAAAGTCCTCCACGAAAGGCATCCCTTCCCTTAGGCAGATAGCCCTAGTGTGCTTTGCCATAATTAAATACACACCTTACCTTTACACTGTTTTATTTTTAAAAACGCAACCAGGCGCAGTAAATTGTGTAACTCTCTAAAATTTGCATTATTATTTATAATTTTTTTTTTTTTTTTTTTTTTTTTTTTTGAGTTCGCACTGCATGTAAAAAGCATTTACAGCTCGAACAAATATTTGTTTATTACTATTGTCGTGTTTTTGGTAAATCGGGCAACAATCAGGAAATTTCAAACATATCACTAGCAAATAGGAATGCAAAAGCGATTAGGCCTGAGAAACATAAAAATTAGTCTTTTGAATTCTTTCTTTTATTACATTAAGTTTTTCCTTTAGAGATTAATACTCATTTTCAAATCTTTATCGATGCTTAAGTTATAAGGTATTTTCTGCCTAATTTCCTTATACCTTCGTGGTGTAACTAAAAACACACTTGACGTGTATTCGTAAAGTCCATATTTCAAATCCCAGCGAGAGTATTGCGAATTTTTTTCAGTTTCCTGAGATCGAAAAATTCTAAATGACTGTACAAGAGTTGCTCGAGCTAAAAAGATTATGAACGATAATTCATCATCACCAGGATCTGGCTGTTGGATCCCCTAATCCCCAGCTGTCCTTTAGGAATAGGAAGTTTATAAGGTTACTTCCTTTCCGCATCCATTTGTGGTGTAACTGGAACACCCTCGACGCTTATTTAGGAGGTTCGGCTCCCGTCCTTTCGACTCCCGTCGAAAGGCAATCTACATGTTTCCTGTTCCCGCATCGATATAACATAATGGCTCAACAGAGTTAAATTTTTTTTCAAGAATGAATATTTTAATTTCGGTGATAAAATAAAATGTATATAAAGTACTTTACATAATACTTTTCATCATACTGAAACTAATCTAAATTCTTAGATTATAATACCGAATCTAATATGTACAGTGCGAAATAATCATTAATTTTCATCTTTTCTTGGCTCATAAACCTGCATTTAGTAATAACATTTGTCATCACAAAACTCGGTGAGACTTAGCAACAAAATCTGTCCTAGAGGTAAGTTTCTCTACAGTTTGTTTATTTTCTTATGCTTGTTTCAGGTTTGCCAGCTATATGCATCGGTCTTTGGTGCTTGTTCATGTCATATTACCACAACACTCATTGCTGGTCTGGATATGGAAGTCAGACGTACATCTGGTTTATTACAGGACCCATGATAGCAGCACTCATGGTGAGTTTTAAGAAAGACAATATATTAGAGGAGACATTGATTTTACTCCTGCTTAGTCTTAATATTCACTGAGAGTCTAAAAGTAAGATAGGAAAAAGTAAAGGATAATATTAAAAGGATAAAATAAATAAATGAAGGAGATTAAAAAAAATAAGCATTAACAAAAATTAATCTATACAGGCATATGTGTGAGGGGCAATACTAAATAAATAACAAAAAAAGGAGAGGAAACAATGGTTTTGGGGAATTTTTATTTGTCTCATTTTGTGCTTCAATTTTTGCACTGCTTACTTCGGCCTGTAGGGGTTGAACTGATAAAGATACAGATTACCTTGGGTATTTTCTAAGGTTATTAATTTTCTTTTGTTTAATTTTAAAGCTTAATTTGTATCCCTGTAAGTTTAGAAACAAGCTTTTTTATTCATTTACTTCTTTCGTTGCACTCCCGCCCTTATGGCGATGCAGCGAAAGATGCAAATATCATTTTTCTTTTGCAGTTTGTGCGTATCTACCCCATTTCTTGAAGTTTGCCACAGTGTTTCTGTTTTTTATTTTTATTTTTGTATGGGATTTATTCCGAAATTAATAAGGGATGGATTTTAAATATTTTTATTTATTATTTTATTTTGCATTATTACCACCATTGTTGCTTAGCACAAATGAATTGTCTTTTGAACTATTTTTTACTTTATATTTATTCCTTTACAACCTTTTCCCTTAAACTTTAGCTAAATAATTTACGTAAGATGACTAGTTTTATAGTCAAAACAAAAAGTCTGAAAAGGGTTCAGATTTTAATGATCGCCCAAAAGGGCTGCATTAAAGTTTATCAAGTATGTTTTATCAATAGATTAAAGTATGGTTTATAAGTAGAGATTATCAAAAGACATGGAAAATGCGAAAAGCGAAACATTTTATAGGATATTAGATGATTATGCATTCAGACTAACATGGAACATTACACTTCTTTATTTTTAAAAAGTAAAAAAAAATATATTAAAATTTTTAGTTATATATAAATACCCCAAATTAAATGCATTTTTATTTAAATCAAACATTAATGTAATTTTATAAAAATATTTAATGCTTATAACTAGATGTATCATAAAATAAATGTATTTTCATTAAAATCAGTTATGTTAAAGTGCAAAAAAAGTCTTAAGAACTACATCTAATGCTTTTAAATAGTTGTTAACTAATTACAGACAAATTAAGTATGAAAGAATAATATTTTACATTCTTCCGATTTGTAACAGACTCAAATGAAAAGTGAAGCAGCGAACTAAAGAGAAATAATGGAAAATCGTGTTCGAGACTAATAGCTCTTTTAGGCTAATTATAAATAAATAAATAAATATTCAGCTTGCTACATTAAACAAGATACTGGTGCGCTTATTGAATCTTAAAATTAATTGAAAATATCCCAGGACAGTCGTCATTCACTTTTATTAAAAATCACTGTATGTCTAACAATCTTAGATATTTACATAACGGTGTCTTACCACACGCAACCACCTGAGTGACAGAAAGCCGCTAACATGGGTAATACTTTGTTCTGCATTCCGAGTCAAACGACTGACTGATTGCATACATCTTTTGTTGTTTTAACGAGAAATTCATTATTTATAAATTATCATACAGACAATAAAATTCTCATGCTGACTGCCTAGGAGTTTAATTTTCGTAACATACAGCCAAAAACGTTGTGACTGCTATAACTGATTTTCCATCATTTAGTGTGTTTGACTCAAACGGTGTATCTTAAAATCGAATATATATATTAAACTTTACTAAAACGGTGTATTTAAAAATGTTTCATATATTTTAACTTGTACATTTTAATCTGAAGAAGGCGAAATAATATAAAGAGAAACCCTTTGCCTCTGAAAGTATACTAAGCATTTGATGTCACCTTTCTTTGTAAGATTATGCGATATTCCGTTAAAATTTTGTTTTATTGAAATATACTAAGGTTGTTCTCTCTTGTGGCTGCGCAGTGCTGTAGAGTTAAATGCTATATAGTTCCGCGGTAGAAGCCAAAATGATGTGTGTGTGTGAGGGATAGAGAGACTGAGGAAGAAGACTGCATGTCCTTATTATCAACATGGCTAGAAGCCGTAATTCTCTTCAGCTTGGTGCCATCTGGTGTACAGAATCCTGATATGCAAACGTACTGTCGAAGACTGTAATTATCGTAATGAATTATTGCAGCCACGTACCTAACCGACATACCAGTTAAGTTAATCACTCGTTATCCATCTCCCATTTCTTTCATGTTATGTTTTCCCTTCACAATTCATAGGTTTACATATCCTGTTCATCGAGTTTTTTTGAGTTCAAGAAAAGCACCTGTTAAAGTGCTGCAAGTCTAACAGTACGTATGCTGTTTTGGTAAGGTTATATACTTCTCCAAAATCTCAACATCACCAAATTAAAATTCAACGACTATCTTATTGGCATTTATTATCATGGGGCTACTAAAAAGAAAAGATTAAAATTTTTGACTTAAAAGTCTGTAACTGCTATAAACCGCATGACAGTTAAAACCATCAAAGAATATTTAAACAGTCGCTGATATTTAGTGAATTACATTACAGATTTTTGAAAAATATTTCTTTCGAAGATTATTCTTCTGTCTCTAAAATTCCGCAATTATTTACTTGATCACTCATTTGAAGTTAAAATAGAAAGAATAAAGAAGAAAGTTTAATATAAAAAATGACATTTACAAAAATGCCCCAGAATGAGATATTGTCATCGCAAATAAGTATGAGCTTAAATTTTCAAGAAAATATTTAAACTTCGGCTCCTCAGAAGACTGTCAAGTACGAATTTCAAGATTTGACCACAGCAAGTAAACAGGCAGAGAACCAACATAAGCCCGAAATAAAAGTTATTTTTTTAATAATTATGTTTATGCAAATTGGAGATAGTTACGATCAGTTCTATATCTATATCCGAAATGGTTTTCCAATCAAAAATGAATTAACGTTAGTTTTAAGTATTGTTTTAATTTCGTGCAGTGCAATGGTTTCCTTAAAATTCTTGAAAACATTAATTGTATACGAAACCTAGAGTTTGAAAGGTTGTCAAGTTACAACTAATTAGCTGTTTAATTTATGCTCTTTTAATCTTTAATTTTTCTTATTTTACTTCCCTTTGCTTAATATTCGCCTTTACTATTAACAGAAATCTTAACTCTGAAAACACACACAAGAGGTAAAATTTCACTAGAAGTTTTACAAGGTATCTTTTCTCCTTTCCGTATGCTTTCGTGATGTAACTGGAAGCATATTCGACGTGTATTCGGGAGGTCCATGACTGGAGTCCTTGCGAAGGCACTGTATATTTTCACGTTCCTGCATCTATATAGTATAATGACTGCACAAGTAGCGCCCAAACTAAAATGTGGTGGACTGTCACCGCCGGATTTGGCGATTGGGTCCCAAAATCCCTAGTCGCTCTTTAAAAGGGGAAGAATATAAGGTATTTTCTCCCTCCTTTCCGCATGCCTTCGTGGTGTTGCTGAAAGTATACTTGACGCGTATTCAGGCTTCTAATCCTGGCAAAGGCACTGCACGTCTCCTGCTTTAAAAAAATATAAAAAACTAATTATTTTACAGGATTTTTAACTGTAATATTAATAAATATTAGCCACCGCTACTCATAGGTCTCATTAATTCAGATACGTAACTACCTACTACAGAGACCACTGTCTAACTACTTCGGCTACAGTAACCTGGATTCTAGCTTTGTGCGATAACAAATAGAAAAGTCATATAATTTGCTCTCTGGTAGTAGCTGATGGAAGAAATAAAAGACACACAATTTACATAAAAATCATGTAGCAAACTAAAATAAATCTTACAGCGCTAAAAAAGAGAACTAAATTATTTTTAATGAAGAGTAGTTTGATTAAAATGCTCTTATTTTTGCCATTTTCTTACATTATATGAGGAGCGCCACTTATGTTAGATACACCGTTTACATTTTTATACAGCATATAGAAGCGCCCTATAAGTGCAAGTCGAATAAATTAATTTTCTCAAATTTATTTAAAGAAAGTTTGAAAACTCAGTCTCGTCAAGGCAGGAGAGGCTAATCTTGTAATTATAGTCACAGTTCATTAACAAATAGACGAAGCCCTGTTACTTAAGCGTCACTCTAATATCTAAGAAAAAGACCCCAAAACAAATCCAATTAATTTTCATCATGAACTGATTTAAAAGTTCTTAGATTGTTTACTAATGATTTTCTGCATAACTAATTTTAAAATACTTCTGGGTAAAAGATTTTTCTTCAGAAAATTTTTACCTGTTTTGACGAACATGCATCTCAGTTAAAATGCTTTCTTTTCATGTGTGTAATTCGTTTACCAGAAAAAAAAATTCCCCATCGCATTTATTTCTAACGGAAATTTGATTTTTTATCCGACTCCGGTTCGTTGTAATATCATGATGTCTTTTCTACTTCATACTAAATTCATAAATTAGTCATGATAAGCCTAGTTTTTAGATTATTTCGGAAAATTTTTGACGTCGAATATACAAAATATTTTAAATACCAGTTAACTTTGCAATTTATTTTAATTAATGTCATTATAATAACAGCATATTTTTATACTGATTTAATTTCTGTAATTAATCTTACATGATAAGAGGTTATATTACTCTATAAAGTTGAAAAAAGGAGCTATTAGTGCTCCATAAAGTTACATTTTTTAATTCCATAGTATTTTGTTAATAAAGCGTAAAATTACTTTAGCGAAATTTATGCATTAAAATCCAGGGCTATTTGAAACAAGCTATGAAAGTTTACAATTTTGAAAGTACCAAAAGTGTTGTTAGATGTGTCATTTTATCCATGTTTCTTTAAAGCAAAACCTACCTCTCATTTCGAAATATGCGAGATTCTACATACAATGTCTTCTAAAAGTGTTTGCACACTTTATGTTCGCCCACTTCTAAAAGTGTTCATGCACTTTAAGAATTTGAAAAAAA